GCATTAGCTTCAGCTATGAGAACATCCTTTTTCACAACATAAAGTCTTTATGAGGACTCCACTGTGAATTTCCTGCCGAGTGACACTATTCAGGGCACAAATTGCCTTCATTTCCTCCATAGCTCTTGGTTGTGCACTCATCTGCGTTTTGACAGCTGTGTTTATAGGGCAGAAAGAGATCTGAAAGAAAATAAAGAGTTGTCTAATTGAGGGTTTTAGCATCATGCTTGAGAGGGAATTGCATGAATGCTTGTATATTTGATTGCCAGATTCTCGTTTAGATGGATTCGTGAAGAAAATCTGAAGACAACTAAAGATGCTGTTTTACGCATACCAGGTCAGTAGGCGATGATGTAACTTTGAATAATTCAACAAGTCTGCCTATGGTTTGGATGTATCATTCATGGCTTTAGACTGAATGCATAGGCTGTATCCGAAATCCCATCTATAACCTTCAAGAGTGTACTACTTGAGAGACCAGACATTTGTAGTGGTGTCTAAAACCATAGTGGGTGTTCTAAAGTGCACTCTATTAACACCATAATGCACTGTTCCACGACTTCTCTTGATGTGGAAGAGCAGCAGCTCTACTCCGAATTCCTCCCGGGTGACAGAGTTCCTCACTCTATCTCTAAGGTTGCGCCCTGCCATCCAGCGAAGGAAACTCATTTCAGCTGCTTGTATCCGAGTTTTTCGGTTATGATCGAAGGCTAACAATCATAGTTGAAAGTAGGAACATGCGTAGATTGGCCAGTAAATTAAGAGCTTTGCCTTTCGTATCAACTCCTTCTTTAAAACAGCAGACCTTGTGTCCCACAGCCTCAATGAAATACGCATTGTTTCTTCTGGATCTGAAGTTAAATCATTGTATGAATCCTCATCTCCAGTACCCTGGCATAGACTTTTCCAGGGAGGCTGAGGAATTTGATCCCCCTATGGTTGGAACACATCCTCTTGTCCCCCTACTTAAAAATGGGAAGCACCAGTCCATTACCCGATTCGGATGTTATCACTTGATTGAATAGGCGTTATCAGTGGTTATCAGCTGATAAATATGGGCCAGTAGGGGCCTTCTGCGCCTACTAGTAGCCTCAGAAGGCTGTTATCATCCATCCACATAGTTAATCAGCTATAGTAATACAGAAGACTCCAGATCCAGATCTGTTTTTACATTACTGTGTTAATTGGGATTATGGCTGGGGTAGTGGTAGACATTAATAAAATACAATTCATGAGAAATTTAATAAAAAATATAAATAATTCTCATTAACTTCCGGCCATAACTGTATGTGATCTATAGCTGATTGACCATGTTGACAGATGATAAGAGCCTTCTGAGTCTACTATTAGACACAGAAGGCCCCTACTGGCCCATTTCTGTCAGCTGATAACCACTGATAATGCCCATTCAATCAAGTGATAACATTCAAGTCGGTTGCATTCCAGTTGCCCAATCTAGAGGTATTATCCTCGTCTTCAATGTATTAATGTTGGGGTGGTATCAGCCAAAACAGCCCACCGCAACTGATACACATGCCATTTCTATACATGGTTATGAATTATGACAATGTATTTTAAGACAAATAAGTAAAACAAATCTTTTATTTTCTCTGTTGGCTTTTGGTTGCAATTTAAAATCCCACTTTATGAAATCCACATTTATTATGAAGAACTTTGAATTTTTGTATATACAACTACCATTCAAAAGTTTGGGTTTGCTATGGTTTTTATTTGTTTTAATTTTTATTGTATTTAATCAAATCTATTTATCTCTTTAAATCTATTTTATCAGAAATAGTTTTTTTGTATATAAATATTTTTAAAAATGTAATTTTTGCTGAACTATTTCAGCGCTGTTACTTCAGACATCAGTGTGACATGATTATTTATTAAATAATAAATATAATATGCTGAATTGATGAACAAAAAGATAAATTTCTTTGTATTATTCTTGTTTAAAAGACTTGTATTACTGTAGTTTTGTAGATATTTCAAATGGAAACAAGTTTAAAAATGTCTTCACATTCATTTTTTAGAAATTGAATGTTTCCTTGCTGAATAAAATATTTGATTAGATATTATAATAATTGAAAAAATAATTTTCTAAGCTCAAACCTTTAGACAAAGCCCAAACCTTAAACAATATTGTATGTAGTATATTATGCATGCACTGATGTCCAGATGTCTGAGACCACATATTCTGTAAATAGTTATGTATATCACCTTACAAATAATATTATGGGCACAAGATGGAAAAATTACAGATTTGTTTTTAAATCGACAGTGTATTATCAGTAAATTGTCAGCGTAACCTCAGACGTATGGATCCCACAGCATGGCGTAAATATAGTATTGGTACAATTTAAGCAGTAAAGCACATACATCTCCATAAAGTGACAGATGCACAGATGATCCTGTACAAGAACAGCAATACTCATTCCACAAGTCTCTTTACAACACTGATTCTTAGAAGCACAATTACTATAATCCACCCTAGATAATACCCACAATCCCCCTTGCTATTATGCAGTTTTATTATCAGACAACGCTGAACATATCTACATGTTTAATGAATGTTTCATGACACTTGCAACAAAACTAAATCGGCAGACTGTGTGCACAAAGGCAGAGAAAGGCATCCATTGATTTTGGCAACTGTATGTACAACAGTTAGCACATTTTCCTCTTTGTATGAAGCCACAGGATTAACTTCTTAATGTCATTTGTTTCGACTAACAGTGTTTGAAGGTGAAGCAGGTTAGAAAATGAGACATTAATTTCTGATTAATGCGTCACTCTTTCCCTGTTTATGTTGACAAGGGCAGTCAGAGGAAAAAAAAATCTCATGTGCACCTTTAGGAATCAATTGCTGTGTTCAGAATAGCATAAACATACTACCATACTTTTAGTAGACACCATATTTCTAGTATGCAATATGCATACTGTTTGCAGTATAAAAATTCTGTGTGCTATGAACACAATTTTAATCATATAGAATGCAGCAGTTAAAAAAAACTTTTCATTCCATATTGCATACAAACATTTAGTTATTTGTTGACATTATTTGTTGCTACTGTGCATTATTTCTGGATGTGCTGAAAATTTAGCAAAACAATTGTTGCCATTTCAGAGTTAAATGACCTGACCTGTGGGTGCAGCTAAAAGAATGTGATAGTTTAAATGTCTCACTGTTGCTGATTTGTAGGATTGGAGGCCCGAATTGGTCCCATCATCTATAAAAAACATTAATTACTTAATAATTAATTTCTAGAAGGCAGATTTTGATGCTGCATTTCACCACTTAAATTCCTGAGCATGTTTCTTTATATGAATAATACATTTGCCTACACTTTAAATAATTAAATTCAAGATATAACTGTATTTTGTAATTATGGTAACAGACCTGCCAAGTCTCTCGGAAGTTCCGGGAGTCTCCCGCAAATGCATAGAGACTGAAATGTATTGTTTCTTAGATCATTTCAATGATCACATGATATTTCCAACCCTGTCTCAATCTGAAAACGTACTGCTATCTACATTTATAGAGAGCGCCAAATACGTCCCAGGAGGTAAGTTTTTTTTTTTTTTTTATGCAGGCTGCTGTGTACAATTTTTGAGATCGCAAATTTCTCTCACAAGGGCCACTTGCACCTGCTTTTCTCGCTAAATCCACCAGAGGCTGCTGTTAACTGACTGACATACTGACCGATCGACTGACCCACCCAACTCCTTCACTAAACCCAACTAACTCTTACCCACTTTCTGAAACCGTTCTTCATCAAACTCGAAACTCCTTGTAGTGGTCAACTCCTCCCTGCATCTTAAGTCTTCCGACAAACATGAGCTACTAGACAAACTGGTAGCAGCAGGAAAGCCGTCCATTTGGAGGTAAGCAGTCAGCTGATAAGCGTGAAAGAGAATGGCATCATATCACCCTGTAGCATTCGTATTAAAGACAAAATGCAGCCATACAGTACGTACTTCTGGCTACATAATTCGTGATCTCCAGAAATTTAAATAGGGCTATGTTTTCAGAATGAGCCTATAGTTCGGGACATTCAGGAAAATGCTGCTGTTACCAGTTTTTCCAATTAGCTTGTCATATATGTTGGTGGACTTGAGAAGCAGAAAGGAGTTGACCACAACGACGAGGTTCGAAGAATGCTGAAAGCGATAAGACAAAAACAGAAGTAAATAACAGGGTGGTAAAATCTGAAAACGTGGTAAAAAAAATCAGGTGAGGACTTTTCTTTGTTTTGGATTGCTTTATAAAACTGTGGGTTGAGTTTAGGGAAGTGGGTGGACGGGTAAATCGGTGCTCTTGAAAACAATATTGGTTGGGTTTAGGAAAGAAGGAGAGTGGGTCAGTCAGTCAGGAGTGAATATCACTCGCAAGAGAAATTTGAGATCTCAAAAAGCATACACAGCGGCCTCTAGTGGACTCGCGAAAACAAAAACTGCAAAAAAAGTAGCTCCTGGGATGTATTTGACCCTCTCCAGAAAAGTATATAGGGGTACATTTCAAGAATGAGCCTGGTTTGAATTAAAAAAATTATAAATTAATTAATTCAGCTAAAACCTGCTAAAATTGCATTGCATGTATGCTGTTATGCCATTCCCAACACAGCTCTTGATCACATCCGGATGTGTTGACCTAGCTTCTAAACCATGAAAAAGCTGCCCGTCCACACTGCATATCAATTCAAAACAAACAACATAAGAAAATCCATTTAAAAAAAGAATGAAATGAACACTTATACCAATCACATATCAAACACAGATGACTGTTATTTCCATTGTGGACATTTTCACATATTTTATGCCTCTGGGCTATGAAATCAGCAGTATTCTGTTATCTACTGTAGTGTTCAAGCATTCGCTTTACAAGAAAAAAAAAACATGTCCAGTTAACTAAGGCAAGAAATTTTCCTTAATGGTACATTCCACTGCACACCCTATAATCCATAGTTCAAGCATTCCTATGCTTGGAGATCACTGTGTACTCAGATCTTGATTTTTTGTATTAAGATCAGTATTGTTTGAATGGTTCAATTACTGCACGTTCAACCTCAGGAACGACAGCAGAGAAGTTTGTGAAAGACGTTCCTGAACTCCACATTGAAGGCAGTGTAGATAATGGGGTTGACAGCGCTGTTAACGTAACCAAGCCATGTAACAACGCTAATCAGTGTTGGTCCAATATCACACGACTCGCATAGTGCCTTAGTCACATGAACCACGAAGAATGGAGTCCAGCAGGCCAGAAAAACACCTGAGGGTGAGAAGATCGTGTTAGGAGTTTATGTAAATTCTTGGTAATTCATCCAACTCTTTCATGTGGATGAATGAAGTCCAACAGCAAAAAGAACACACCGTTTGTGCCACATTGTGTCTGGTTTGTTCTCTACGGGCACATTGATAACATTGTCAGTTTTCTATTGTATTCCAGCACACTTTGATTTCAGCCTTTGAAAGTTGTGCAGAGAACAATGGTGTACAATCAGGTTGCTTTTAAACCTGATGGGACATCTACTAGAACATAAACCAAAAGCAGCAGGTGTCACATTAAACCATAGAAAATTTCCTGAATTTCTGAGCATCACGTTCTAGAAGTGTTTTCATCATACTTGACCACCCCGATGGCTGTCATTTAGTTCGCACAGCTCATGCATTTATTCATGACTGGATTAAATATTTTCACATAAAGGAACATTCAGACACGCATTGTATCAATTGATGTATACCCACACAGATTTGGTTTCTAAAACCTTTGAAGATTTAAAAAGAGCAGCATGACCAAACACCAGCATTTGTCTTAGACGCCGACAGTATGTTAGACTTATTATCTTCTCATCTACGGTTTGATTTCAAAAGGCAGTGTGCATCATTGAGGCTGACTTGAGGCAGTTCTAAATGCATATACAGAATGACATATTGACAGCTGATAGCTCACCAAAATAGCCTAGGTGTCAATCGAAAACCAGAAATTAAATATTAAATTCTTGGCCCAATACACAGATTTCAGCTCTGACGACCCTTGCTGTTAGAGGGGATGGGGAGAATCTCTCATTAACAATACCAGATCTAGGCCAGAAATGAAAGCAGATATTGATGGAAATAAAATGTGTGACCTTGCATATATTTGTCAAAACAATTTCATGACGAAGGTAAACCATAATCAAAACCAAAGATGATCCAAATTATGCTCTACTTTAATGTCTAGTTCACACTACAGGATTTTAAGCCCAATTGGAGCCCAGTTTACAAGTTAATGAGCTCGTTGAAAGATTGGGCTTTAATCTGGGGGAATCAGCTGTCTGTTTGTGCCAACTACTGTATGATGCATTAAAGAGGCTGGCTGACTCGTTACCGCCAACTCACAAATGAAAATCCAATATCTAGTATGTTAAATATTGCTGACCAGTCAGCCGACTCATCCCCTCATGGGGTCGAATGTAGTGATGTCTATGAGAAAGCAAGTCATGAGGTGAATGGCTGTTGTGTTGAGGAGCAGAAATGTCTGTGATTGGCCATGTTCTTTGATGCACTCGTTTATTAAGCATATTAAAACCATGTCTATCCACTGAACCTTGCAGATATATAAGCAATAGATCCACTGGCTAATTAGCGATGCTTTCAAATGATCCTTTGAACACTTGCGGAGAGATTTCAAATGCTGTGTGTCAGTGATGTCATCATCCTACAAGCAGCCAATAGTGTTCAGCTCTCACTGCGGGCTCTGCCCACAACATTTCATTGGCTGTGGTTTGGGGGCTTGACAGAGCTGTTGGATGAAAGAGTTGTTTTCAGATCATGTAGTATATGTGACCCCCCTCATGTGGATCATTTATGTAGTATAGTGTAGTGTGAACATCACACCGATTCAAAGACAAAATCAAATTATGAAGAACGAAGGGCAAAGCAAACTGTAGTGTGAACTAGGCTTAAGGTGAACCACTCTGTAAAGTCTATATAGTGTGTTACGTGACCAGGCAGATCAGCACCAGCTGTGGCGTGTTTGGGTTGCTTATTTATTGCCTGTGTTTTCACCCTGTATTGTCAGATTGTTTGGTTCTGCCTTTGTTCCTGGTTGTTTGTTTATGGTCTTCTGTTCCTGTTGCTCCCTTCAAAGCTGCCCACTTGCCTCACTGCGCTGCCGTGATATTTGCTTGAGATCATAAGCCCTCTTGAACTTTTGCAGTGCAGTTCTTGACTTTTTCAATAAATAAACTTGTTTATTTAAATTTCTCTACAGATTTCTTGTTTCATTGTTACTCTGCACATCATCACTAACCAAGCCTTCCCCCATCAGATACATTTGCTAATGATCCTTTGCAAAAGCTTTTTAACTAAATGTTCCATTTTCTTTGTCCTTGCAACCTCTGATTTTTGCTACAGAACAGTCAAAAGTGGCATTAATGTTGACGCTGCTGTCTGGTGCATGGCTTATTGGAGGACCATGGTATAGTAGAACCAACACTCTCAGAGGAGATGAAGAGTGTCTTTTAATGTGCAGTCTTTGTTGGCTGACCTCAGACAGGGTAGCCTAAGACTACTACTGATGTCAGATTATTAAATCAGGTTCCAGACTTTGGAAACAGTGAAAGTGGAACATGGAAGTACAGTGGTATGTACAACCTTCCTTCGTGGGTTGTCTGACCATACTCATATAGACTCTCATGAAACCTTTGCCCACCCATCTAGATAGTTTAATAATTTGATTTTACATGCTAATATATACCTGGTGACATGACCAATCTATTCAAGTATATGTGGTTCAGCAGGTCAATTTATGGCAGAGTTCCCACTAAAAGTCCAAGTCCAGCAGTAGGTCTGATTTACTGTTGGATGGATTATCACCATCAAAAATTGTTTCAGCTGCCATACATGCCATTCTTCAATGCAGCAGTTGATGCAGTTCTTTCCTAGTGCTTATCCTCAGATGATAAGGTGCACTTATTCACATTCCTGGACTATTTTCCAAATGTTGCACTGAGTGTTGCTAGTTACTGGGCAAATGTCAATCTGTCTTTTTGTTTCCATTCTCAGAGTAATGGCTAGACTGAGCGGGCCAATCAGGGTCTTGAGAGAGAGAGTGTTGCGATGTTTGGTAGCACTGAACCTGCCTCCCTGAAACCAGCAACTCTCATGGGTGGAGTATGCACACAACTCATTACCAGAGTAATGCATGGGCCTCTTTCCATCTGAGAAAAGTCTAGGTTACCAGCCACCATTGTTCCCTGTCTGGAATTGAAAGTCAGGGTCCTCTCTGTCACGTTTATCCAGAGATGTTGTCAGAGCCAACAGAAACTCCTCAGGTTGGGAACATGCACCATCTATGTTGTAGGTCATAAAGTGTGGCTTTCTTTTAAAAATAATCTTTAAAGGGAATACTTTAATTAAACTTTAATACAGAATCACCCAAAGTCATTCGCCCACTCACTGTCAATAATATTGTAGTCCCAATGGCAGTTCACCACAATCTTGGGCATTGTGTTCCTGGAATTTTACCATGGGATACGTTTTCCAACATGATTAAGAACTAAAAACCTACACTCAGCTAAGGCACCAACGAGGAGTTATTATATTCCTCTTAAAGAGCCTGGGTTGACATCACTTTAGGGAAGCACTGGATTCCACCAGCATTAGCATTTTCTCCTCTGTGTGTTTGTGCCTCGACTTATGTCTTGATTTTGTTTCATTTGTGATGTTTCAGTTCTTGTTTTGCTACATGACATTTCTGTGTCCTTAATCTTGTTCATAGATTCTTTATAAGAGTTAGCTTATGAATATCGTTTTGCTAACTGACATTTTCATGTACTTTATCTACTTTCATTAAAATAAAAACCTTAAAATAAGCCAAGAGTGGTGTCTGAAACTAAATTTACTCAGAGAAACTGGTCAAAACTGTTCTTAGAGTGCAATAATTAATCATTCACCTTCTTTTATCCAAGCTACCACTTATTTGGCCAATAAGTACATTATTAATATAATCTAAAATAATTATAACAGAAATATGAACTCACTTGCATTGATATTTGCAAAATGATCTCTTAATGGTTTTTTGTAAATGGCTTTACATTTTATATGCACAGATGGATATTTACATTGTCACTATTACCTTGTTTGCTCGCTGGATTGTAAGACTCCTTTATCTTTAAGGGTAAGCATTGCCATAAACATAGAAATAATACATACCCACAACCACAGGCAGCACCTTCATTGCCTTGCGCTCCCGTCCGCTGACCCTGTTGCTCTTGCTGTGGCGGCGTCCTGTATGAGGCCGATGGTTTTTCCCTACACCATTCTCCCTGCCACTATCATCCTCAGTGGCCCGCTCAGGGTTTTCTGCATCCGACACACTGTCCATCTGCGTGGTCATGGGGTCACTCTCTGCTCCTGGCATCTGACCTTCTGCGAGATCGTCGGTGGTGAGAGTAACCGGACTTGTTGAGGAGATTGGAGTAGTTGGAGTTGCAGTAAGAGATGTTGGACTGAGACCTGCAGGCATGAGATACACCACCTTCTCCCTTGCCCGTCCCTTCTCCTTCTGTAGAGCTGCTCCCAGTCGCAAAGACAGACTCCTGCGGCCTCTGGGTGGCCGGCGGAGGTGTGAGCGGTTACGACCAGAGCTCCATCGCTTGAGTCCTCTGAACATCCAGTAGTAAAGGAAAAGCATGACAGGGCAGGGGACGAAGAAGGAGCAAACGGAGGAGTAAACTACAAACTGGTTGTCCTCCAGTTTACACACATGAGGATTCCTGTTCGGCACCTGGTTCAAACCAAATATGACAGGACTGGCTACACCCAGCGAAAGCACCCAGGTGGCGGTGATCAAGGCCAGTTGACGAACACTAAATTGGTTCCTGTTGTACTTCAGTGGGACAACCACTGCGATGTACCTGAAAATGAGAAACAAGGTTAGTTCAGGATTTAGGCTAAAGTGACCTAAATGCAGTTTTTGATATAAGTAATTGATTAGGAGTTTCCTTTCTTTGAAAGACAGTGTAAATAATGACACAGAGACATATTTTTACTTTTAACTTGTCATAATATGAAGGTTTTATCTTATATTTCAGACAATGTGTCATTTTAATTTGTGTCAATAATAATTTTATTTTCTCTCCTAATTAAGATACATAATGACATGGATTTTTCATGGATCCAGGATGGAGTAACACATCATTTCTTATGTCTTTATGATTGTTGATAAAGTTAAATGTTTAAGGGCCTTGATCAGGGGTCACCAATCTCGGTCCTGGAGGGCTGGTGTCCCTGCAGGGTTTAGCTTCAACTTGCCTCAACACACCTGCCTGGGTGTTTCAAGTATACCTAGTAAGAGCTTGATTAGCTTGTTCAGGTGTGTTTGATTAGAGTTGGAGCTAAAATCTGTAGGACACCGGCCCCTCAGGAACAAGTTTGGTGACCACAGGCCTAGATTATATGATGAACTAAGTGTCATTTCTCTTCAGAATAAAACTGGAATATTATGTGTTCAATGGCTTTTTCTGCATGCCAAGTGATTTGTTTACTCAAGATCTACCAAGTCAGGTCAGAGGTCATAGAGTGCTCGCATGTGGTACTGGACTGTTGATAAATTGGGAACAACTGTTTTCTGGGTTGTTTGCCATTTAACTTTGATATTTCAAAGTTAATTATTTTGTATGCAAGCTGCCAGTTTGGATGTTGATTATACCAGTTTGTCACCAGGTGGATAAGATGGCTGAGAGTACACGAAACAGCCTTGAGAATGGAACAGATTGCACTTGGTGTGTGTGTGTGTTCTATTTGTTTGTGGATCATTATTACAGCTCTGGAATCAGCTCTGAATAGCCTAGTGGCTGAAGTTTCTATCCTTGAGATATTGCGATATCGTTCAGAATTGTGCACACACACACAACATTTTTTTTAAGTCTATCTGTGTTTTAACCAATCAGGTTAAAACACCTAAAGTATATGTATGACACAGTTAATGACGTTATGTGAGATTATATAATTATTGTTGTTTTGAGATTGTATGTAGAGCAGCCTACGAACTCTGCGCAAGTGTTGCAGCTAGCTTCTGCTGATGATCATCTGCAAACTATCTTCAGTAAACTTGATTTTATTAAATCTCTGACTCCGGCTCTTCTTCATCTGATTGACTGGTCATTTTTGGGTTAACACTGTCATTTCCTTACACATAATTTTTAATATAATTTTGAGATTTTTTTTAATTTTTAACTCGCACATTTTGACATTTTGTCATAACGTTGCCTTTTTATCTTAAAATAATGACTGAAAATCTCTTTATTTAAAATCTTACAGTTTTTTTTCTTGTGTGCAAATGTAATATGAGCTGCCATAACATGTCTTGCAATCAAATATCTTCCACAAGTGGGGAGCAAAAAGTAGTTTTTAAAATTTTAAACTCAATATATGAGAAAATATTGTTTAGTTTTTCATTTATTCATTCAGATCTACTTTTTTTATGCACAGCACAAACCACATGGAATCTGATCTCTCTTTTCTTATGTGCATATGTGGTTCTAAATCTGATAATTTGCATTACAACCTCTGTTTGAACACAACAGAATGCAATAAACTACACTGTAAAAAAAGCACCATAACCATTGTTTGGGTGTATTACATGCCCATAGATCAACATCCATCACAATTTTGCAATGACAAAAGTCACTCCTTTGCATAAAACAATTAGTTGCTCGCTTTATATTAAAGTGTGAAGGACAGCTAGAAAGGCAGTCTTTTGCCTGCTTTTATTGCAGTTACTTCAATTTATAAGTAAACTGTGACTGACAACTCTTTAGAACATGTTTTCTGTTCACGTTCATTAATTAGAATGACCCACTGAGATGCAGGAAGATTCTAGTGCAATCATTTTAAATTGCATGAGGCCTCATAAGTCTGTTTCATCTTTTTAATTATCCACACTCTTTCGACTCCAAACCTTTGTTTTCATCTTCAGAGACTAGCTTGCTTTTGTTTTAGTACGCGTCAAAGACAGAATGACCTGCTCTGCGCCTTGGTCTGGGACCTCTTGAAGTTGTTTTATATTGTTTACGTGAAGCGGTAATGCATGATGCACTGACTAAGTAATGAAATTCAGCTCCATGTCGTGGTTTCATTAGCATCCCACTGGACAGCCAATAATGCATAACCAGAGAGTTAAGATTCACTCCGTGAACACACCGAGAGGTGCAAAACAGGCCGGCTGAATGTTAAAAAAGCCATTAAAATTTCATCTGAAAGTTTAGGGACCACCATAACAAACGTGTGGATAATGTGGATGAACAAATTATTATTTTTCTTTTAATCTTTTATGCAGCACTGAATGTGTATGGAAGCCCATTTTTGTACCATAATTATTACCTTTTATATTATGCATTCTACATTTGGTCAGAATTTGGACTTTTTGTTTGTTTTGAGGACATGATTCAATTTTAACATATGCATTAATAATAGTTTTTGTCATAATTTTGCCGTTTATCTAATGACTTATGACTGATACAAAATTTCAATGTATGAGAAATGTAAGTAATGAGTAAGAGTTACTTGTTTGACACACATAATGTGTGAGTTACTTTTTACCTTTAGATTTCATATTTGTTATATTTATTGATTATTAAAGAGTTTATATTATGGGTTTTTGTAACACAGCTCTAAGTGAGTTAAAACATCCAGCTGAGGCTTGAATCTGAAAGTGCACCTTATATAAAACTATTGATTCTCAAAAAAAAGAGAGTAGACTCAGAGTCGAATATATGAATTGATATCAACTTCGACACAAAACAATCCAGGCACATACCCAGGGGGGTTCGGATGGTCCAGAATTTGTCCCATATACAGTATGAGCTCATTTGTACTGTGACTTCTATGCCATCATAAAATGTACAAAAAAAAAAATAATAAAATAATTCAAAGACGGGGCGAAGCAGTGGCGCAGTAGGTAGTGCTGTCGCCTCACAGCAAGGAGGTCACTGGGTTGATGGTTCGAGCCTCGGCTTAGCTGGCGTTTCTGTGTGCAGTTTGCATGTTCTCTATGTGTTCGCGTGGGTTTTCTCCGGGTGCTCTGGTTTCCCCACAGTCCAAAGACATGTGGTACAGGTGAATTGGGTGGCTAAATTGTCCCTAGTGTATGAGTGTGTGTATGAATGAGTGTGTGGATGTTTCCCAGTAATGGGTTGCGGTTGGAAGGGCATCCGCTGCGTAAAAACTTGCTGGATAAGTTGGCGGTTCACTCCGCTGTGGCAACCCCGGATTAATAAAGGGACTAAGCCGACAAGAAAATGAATGAATGAATGAAATCAAAGACGGCTTTAAGACTGTTGCTTTAGTGTGAGTTCAGCTAATCAGTTTTAGCCAATCCAAACAAATAATTTTTTTGAGTCCAATATCCAGTTGTGCATAAAAACACAGACAATCTGACTCAAGTAAAGTCATCTTTTACTACAGACCTACTGTACTGTTGTTAAATAGAGAAAACATTTTTCAAGTGAATTTTATTCTAAATCTTGGACCTCATTCTTGAAAGAAAAAATTAATTTGAATTTTCCAATGTTTTAATTTACAAGAAAGGTCATTTAGCGCCTCGTTATTACTATTATGTTTAAATTTTTAAATGGCCAATTTCTGACTGAGGAAACTTAAGTGTGCTGGCCAGTTTGCTATTTGCCTATTAAATGACAATAAGCTACAGTTAATAATGTAAAACTTTAACAGGCAACTGTTTTTGATACATCAAAAAGTGTGGTTATTATGACCACCCCACAAACTAATCCAGCAAAAAATAGTGCTTAAAATGTCACTAAAATTCTGTATTTAAACAGTAATTAAATAAAAAATGAGGCGAATAACTGTAAAAAGGTCCACTTTTTGAGAAAAAAACTAACTTTTTTTATAAGGCTGGCTATGGGCCTGCAATCCCATTTATGAGGTGCTAGATTTAGTAAAATGTGAACCCACCCTTTCTTTCAAACAATACAATTGGAGTGCAGGGGATGGGATTGATCACAATCTGAAGATGAGTGAACACTGATCACTGTGATATGGCTAGAGATGCGGGGCTGTGGGAAAAAAATGGTTAAGTTCATTTTCACAACAATACCACAGCCAAGCCAACCGTGCTGTCACTGTGTTTGTTCCTGTCATTTTTCTGAAGATTAATACAATAAACAATCCTGCAACGTGGGATTCACCGGCCGTTTGTTAATAAAGGAAGGATCAGCAAAGGCTAATAATGTATGGAACTTTGTTGATACACAGTTCATTTGGACCAGTTTCTTCTTCCTCCAGATCATAACCTGTAAGTGTGAATAAAATGATTGCCTCCTTGTTTTCTGTAGCTTGTAACATGTAATTGCTCCACGTAGCTTTTACTGTATCTCTTGGGTTAATGCTTTATGGGGCTATTCACATATCACGTCTAAAACAAATATGTTTCTGAGCTTGCGACTCCCTGTTATTTGTCATTGCTATTGTCACAATCAGCTGTTCTTTTTTAAAATGGTTCAACTTTTGCCACTATGTCAATTAATACTGAACGTGTGTCATTGTTATTGCTCAGGGTTAGGGTTTAGAATAAAACAATTTGCTGGTGTTTAACAGCATTGATTTAATGCATTCCTGCATTGGGCTCACACATACTGTATACTCTGGCTACTTCATCTTGATAAGAAACACGTGTATGCGTGTGTGTGCTTGTGTGTGTAGGCGTACATCTCACCTGTCCACACTAATTGCACATAGATTCAAAATTGAGGCAGTGCAGAGCATCACATCCATAGTCATCAGGGCATCACAGATGTACATACTGAGGGTCCATATCCCTCCCAGAAACTAAAACACACAGGGAAAAGAGAAATCTCATTCCAAGCCATGCAAAATATTACAATTACATATATGAAACCTAAATACATAAATGTTAAAACCTAAGAAAATTGGCTACATACAGTATTAAAGGGAATATTACATATAACAATAATAGGGTCAAATATCAGGGGGTAGATGGTTGGTTTATCACACAGTGGTCTTAACATGACTGAAATTAAAGATTAAAAAATCAACCAAATCCTTTGTTGATTCACACTAACCATATAAATAAAGCCAATACGTCCAAGATGGAAATCCTTCACTGCTGCATCAATATTCACTTCACAGACACAATAAACTGAAGGGCAGCAATTCATGCTAAGAGTCTTCATAAACCTTTTACTGCAGTACAAAAGTTAAATCATAACATCAATATTAAATTAAAACTGCCAGTATGTTTAGGAATATAGTATATATTCCTTGGATTATTGTGAATAATTCAGTTATAATTTCCAAGAAAACGTATCAACTTTGAAAACGTTTTTTTCAGCCTCAACCTTCTAGGCTGCAAAACAGACTGAATTGATTTCTCTGGTTGTTTGATACAATGCAGATATTCAAATGAAGCTTATTCTGTGCATTTATTTAAAAAGCCTTGCATTATCCACAACATATTTCCAATAAGATAATATCAACACCACCTGAATGTCTCAGAAACTTTGTAGCCCTCAGTACCTACATGTACCATCATCTCCTAGCTTTTCAACAGTAAAAAAACAAACAAACCTATATCTATAACATACTGTATATGTTTAAGCACGTACGCTACTTTCACAACATTGCTAAACTTTTTGTATTGAATGATCAAGATTAACTTGTACTTACTTTTTCCTTTAAGGGAAAAAGTATTCTACATGGAGGACCAGCACTTTCTGTAATTAATGGATTAATTAATTTAAAGAAAATGTGATTGATTGATTGATAATTTCTTTAAACAAAAAAAAGTATACTTCTTAAGGGGCTAATAATATTGACCTAAAAGTTGTTTTCCATTTTTAGAAAGTTGTTTTTATTCCAGCAAATCTGAAAGAAATAAAACTTTCTCCAGAAGAAAAACTATAAAAGAGCGTTTTGTTATTTACACTATTAAGCTTGATATAAATAGGTCAACACCAATGTTTGTCCATCTTTTCAACCTTCATTCATTCCCTTTCCTTTGGCTTAGTCTCTATCTGTGAGGTCACGACAGCGGAATGAACCAGCAACTATTCTGGCATATGTTTTACGGAGCGGTTGCCCTTCCAACTGCAACCCAGTATTGGAAAACACCCATACACACTCATTCACACACAATTTAGTTAATTCAATTCACCTAGAGGGAATATCTTTGAACTGTGGGGAAAACTGGAGCAACAAAACCCATGGAAACACGGGGAGACATGCAAACTCTACACAGAAATGTCAACTGGTCCAGCCAGGACTCAAACCAGCGACCTTCTAGCTGTAAGGTGACAGTGCTAACCACTGAGCTGCCATAAATCCATCTTTTCAACCTCTTTTTCTAATTTATAAAAGTGCAGTGACTATATCATCAAATAAGATTCAGCAATTGGAAAAAGTATACCATCACATGCTTAGAGTCAAACAGAGATTGTAAACCACCTACTTCCATCATCAATCTCTGGTCCTCACCTCAGAGTAGACATAAAGCGGCAGAACGAGAATGGCCAGCAGGAGATCAGCCACGGCCAGACTGACAATGAAGTAGTTGGTTGCTGTTTTGAGTGAGCGTTCGGTCAGCACACTGAGGCATACCAGGACATTCCCCAAAATGATAATAAGGATGAGAGGCACGCCACATATCAAAGCCAGGTAGTTGTACCCCTCGTGGGCCGCCGTTGGGTCTATACTGGGCGTCACATTGACCATGATGCCCCAAAGATCAGCTGCCAACCCGGATTCAACATCTGCGAGATGGAAAGATTGACACAGAGGGGGCTGTTTATGGAGATGGATGGCTCTTTGTGTGTGTAATATATGCTAATACGTGTTTGTGTTCTTGCCCATATGTTACAAGAAGAGGAATTATGACAAGATGAAGCCATAAATATGAACAAGCGCCCTCATTTCGCAGTCGTTTATATGCAGAGTGCTTGGAAAGGATGTTTATTTTTTGCGACAGTAACAGACTCTCTCTCCGTTTGTCATTTCTAATCCAAATAAAATGTCATTGTATGGTGTAAATGTGTGTGGATGTTTGTTTTGGCCTGTTTATTTTTGCTCTAGTCAAAGTTCCTACCTTGAAAATGTCGCAGTTTGTAGGGGTATGTAAAATACGTTGACTTGTCTGACGTCTGGAAATGTTGTAATCACATTTTGGAGGTGTTGACTCTTTCCGTCAGTGTACATGACGACCATGCTGGACGAGTTAACACTTTGCTCATGCGAGCTGATAGAGCTGAAAGAGAAGAGAGGTGATAATTGAGTTTTCTCTTCATGCTTTATATAGGCATCATCAGCAATGCACATGACTTTAGTGTTAAATTAGGATGCATTTGTGATGAGTTTGACACCCCTGAATCACCAAAGTTTGGTGAAGATTTGAAGTATTGCTGTTGTAAGGTTGTCATAAGCTAAAATGTGCTGAAAGTGATTTGCAGTTGTCGTACACCAGGGTTTGTTAAAAAATAAGTGTGAAGTGTATTTTGTTTTTGTTTTTTTCCTGGACCTAAAAATTATCAGTTATCATTTGTAATAACACACATTGAGGGACTCTACTTTTTTAAATCCATTGTAAAATATGTATCTTTATTCTTAAATAATACAAAACTTTGATCATCAGGCATAATAGGACGACTTAATATAGATTTGGGCTAAATGCACCATCTCCTATAAGCAGTTAAACTTCTTTGTTGTCTGCAAAACATATAAATGAATGAAAAATGTTACATCAGTTTAAGCTTTCCAAAGCTTTGAATCAACAGTACCAATTGATTTCCAAAATAATTCACTGTTATTCAGAGCTAGAAACCCCATATGCTGAGGACACATGATGATCAACAAAAACTCAGGTAAAACATTCCTAAAACAGCTTTTACAAATTTACTGCAAACATTTTACCTAAAATATTATCTGTCAAATGCATTAGCCAGTCACCTAATACCGTAATATGCATTATTTTATAATTTTTTAGCACTTGATTTACTTGTACTGTAGAAGATTTTAACAAAACAGACTGACGGAAGACTAAACTATTACTCATTTATATTTGTAAATTTATTTCTTATTAAAACAAATTTAATAAACGGATCTAAGATCAGGTAAAACAATAGAAACTCAAAACAATGTTTGGGAATGAGGTTTTGAAGTTTTAAAACAGTTAAGCTGAAACAAATCATCCTTTGCTTGACAATTTCTTGTCTACAAACTTTCACAGACAACTTGGGAAGTTGTGAATTTTGCGCAAGTTGCGTAAGTTTCATCAGATGATGTTCACATTGGCATCACATACACAAACGTTCTTACGTAAACCACTGTTTTAAATAGCTGATTATATCATTATAATTATTCATTCATATGTTCATTTTTTGCCGCTTTTTCAGGGCCGGGTCGCGGGGCAGCGGTCTTAGGAGGGAACCCCAGACTTCTCCCCAGACACTTCCTGCAGCTCTTCCAGGGGGATTCCCAGGCCAGCCGAGAGACATAGTCGCTCCAGCATGTCCTGAGTATTCCCTGAGTCCTCCCGGTGGGACATGCCTGAAACACCTCCCTAGGTAGGCATCTAGGAGGCATCCGAAACAGATGCCCGAGCCAACGCAGCTGACTTCTCTCAATATGGGGGAGCAGCTCTACTCTCAGCTCCTCCCAGATGTCAGAGCTCCTAAGAGTGCACCCTGCCACCCTTCGAGTGTTATATCATTGTTAATATAAAAGAATTATTCTTCACGCAAAATATTGAATTTTCTCTGACTAAAAAGCTGAATTTCCTTCACAGCTAATAAACGGAAAAACAGATCACTATTATGCTTATATATTAAAAATTTAATATTAAAATAATATGTTTAAACATTGACACAATTTAAAAAAGTTTAAGCTTGATTATCATTTTGCATTTTGCCACTATTAAAGCAACAATGGATAATTTACCTCAGATTTATCTACTTAATGCTTGTTTGTACTTACTGTTTGCATGGCTGTGAAGTGCTCCCTCTCAATCTTAGTTTTACAAATTTTACATTTAGCTGCCACTTTTTTGACTCAGTCTTTAAAGTGGTCATTTTGAAGCCAAATGTATTTCCTGAAATGTATATCCAGACACATTAGCCACAACAGACGCTGTCTGGTAGCAGTATTTGACCTGAGTGATTGCTGGTTGATGAGCATCAAAGAAATAAAATCAAGCTAAAAAAAAAAGGCTTACTATAACAATAGGCATGAAATAACGTGGAAAAAATAGGCATGGAATAAATGGTAACTACATTTTTAATAGACAAACAATAATCTCTGATATTCCGTGATTGGGACAAAACTTATAAACATCCCCTGATTTCTAATGTCTGGTATATACATGATGTTCCAAAAACTCCCATAGAAACCCTATTATAAGCTGTTCCCACACTGGCCTTAAAAAGTAGAATTAAAACATCACAATTTTCACATACAGCCTCTTCTTTAATACCTGATTATATCACTGTGTTCTTCAGGAATTGGTATTTGAAAAGGCGTGAAGGCATATAACATGCTGTTAATTACATTTTTGGGTCAGTTCAAAGAGCTGCACTAAATATCGACTTTTCACGGTGTTGGCTGTCATCATATCATTCTCCTCGCTCTCTTTCTTGGCTGTGAGATGCAGTGGAGTATGGGATCAGAGGAGGCTCCGCTTCTGTGAAAGCACACTGTTTGAAATTCACCCCTCTCGCAACAACAGGTGAAGGTTGCCATGACAGCATCCGCTGTGTGTGTGTGTGTGTGTGTGTGTGTGCGCGTGTGTGTACACAATAAAGACGGGAGGCACTTGTGAACATGTACATAAATAAAAACCCAATCAGAGGCGTTCCAGTTCACCTCACCCTTTGTTAACTAATGAAAATGTTCAATTAGGGAAGTCTCCTCTCAGGTCGATGCTATCGCTTCATCTCTTAATGGTCTGGTAGTTAAAGCGGGGTTGTGTGTCCTTTTGGAGAGAACTGAGTATGCCTTTTAAATGCCAATTTGATTCACGGTAAACATAATTTTGAATAAAACTTTAAGTACGGGATTATAAATGATGTGATGTTTGTGTAGCTTTTAATATTATTACATTTATTATCATCATAGATGGACTAATGAACATGGTGTCATGTTTTCATTCAGAAATCGCATGAACTGTAAGTTCCACAAATCAACACTGAATTGAAGATTAAAATGTAATTTTCTTGCGACAAGCTGACACATTACAACTTGAAAAGAGTGCTTTTTATTCGCATAAATACAGTGCTCAGCATATATGAGTATACCCCTCACAAATCTCTCATTTAAATTCATATTTTCTATAGGATGCTTTACAATATTATATTTGTGCATATACAATTAGTTTAGTCAAATCTGGAGCTTATCTAACAAAATAACTTACAATAATAGTTAAAAAAGGAATAGCCCAAATGTATGTCACAATCCCCAGCAATCCAAGCTTGTAGATTGCTGGGAATCATTCACTTTCACCCAGGATTAAAAATTAGTCACCATATGGCCTACAAATCCTGTCATGCACCACACACTCACAGCTGTTTCGGTTTTCAGCTGATTGTTTACTCACAAGCTAAAGCTGTTCATAACCGATTACATATAATTTTAAAGCAGCACAGACACACACACTAGTTGCTGTGTCTTGTTTATCTTTTGTAACATTACGATGTGTTTCCTTTGTCTAGCCTAGCTGTGTTTTGATCCTTTGCTTTTGTTTTGATTTCTTGCTGCCTGTACCAACCATTTGCCTGTTTGATGACCACGATCCCTGCATGCATCTGTTTGCCCCTGTTTTGACTATTGCTTGCCTGACCATTCTCATAATAAACCTGCATTTCAAACCTCAACTCTGTTGTCAGCACCCTTCACATAATAATATGTTAGGGAAAAATATTAAATAAAATTTTCCAAAATAGCAAAAATCAAGAGAAACAAATAATATATACTATTTTGTTGAAATGTTGTAGTTTATTTATTTATTTATTGCAATATTATTTATTTAATTTTATTTGTATTATCTTTCCATTTTTAAAGATGTTCTGATGATAAATATTTCTTTGTAATACATCAGTTTTGTTCAAATACACCAATATATATACCCATATTTGCTATATTCATTTTCAAAATTAGGTGTACTTATTTATGCTGAGCACTGTATGAAGAATATTGATTAACTTGAAATGCCATGTATATTTCATGTTTATTTCAGTTTATTTACACATTTAATCAATGCTAAATAGAATAATATTATTTAACATAAACAAACAACATTATTTTTTTACTGTAAATTTAATCCAAATTAAGAGCAGTATTAGAATATTTAGATTTGATTTATATATTTTTATAAATCTCAAAATACCTTATTTGTTGTTGTTTTTATTAAAGTAGGACTTATTGATTACTTGATTGATTGATTGCTCGCTCAATTGATGAATTGATACAGTAATTGCAGTTTCTTTGCCTGCCATTTAATTAAACATGAACATGTACCTATTTTTAATTCAAAATTGACATTTCATGTTTTACTTCAGCTGGTTTTTAAGCTGTGCTAGATTAACATTCTGTTCAGACTGTGTCCACGTGCCTCCCAGTCTTCTCTCTCTGCATGGATCATGTAGCCTGTCATTGTGTGGGTATTAACAGAAATCTAAAAAGCACAGTATGATGACTCTTTAATCTCCCAAAGTACAAAGGTAAACAAACACAGCTTGTGCCACTAGCAGTTGTCAGTCCGGTAATCAATCCCCATGCCTCTTGTACCCTGCGTTCTGCTTGTAAATGTCAACCTGGGCAGGACATCCCAGGGTAATGGAAACAGCACAGAAAAGACAAGAAAAAAAAACCCCAGTCAGACCAGAACGTTTTATACCATGCACACAGATAACACAGTCAATCCTGTCCAAGAATGTCCCTTCGCAACAGCCGTCAAAGCACATATATCCTCTGTCCGTCTCTTCGACAGAGGACGACCATAATAATTTGATTATAAAGTTTAAAATGCCATTGTCACATTGACGTTCGCCCGAGAGCAGAAGGACTCGGAAGGTTGCATCTCATTACGCTCCACCTTCAAGCTCGGACTGTTTGATTTTTGCACATTGGAGTCTACTGAGGCTAATATGAGACGCTTTATTGGGATTAAGTTCATGCAGAAAGGTCGTTTCATTACAGGTGGAATGATTTAAGAATTAGTCTCTTTAGCGGAAGTGGCATTTAAAGGATTCACGTTCTCTGACCTTTTCTGAAAACGTTTGTGTTCTGCACTTTTCAAGGGAACTGTATATTTTAGTGTAGCTTGATGTCATTTAAGAGTGCTGAAAGTGGACATTTCAGGGTAAGAAATATTAGATATGATGGCTAAAATAAGCCTTAGGGGAAAAACTACTATATCCAATGCACATCTTTATGTTATAGCATTTTTAATTCATTACTTTCAGGGTTTTCAGTATAGCTAGAAGGACATCTGCTGCATAAAACATGCTGGAATAGTTGGTGGTATATTTTGCTGTGGCAACCCCTGATAAACAATCGATTAAGCCAAAGGAAAATGAATGAATGAATGAGTGAATGAATGAATGAATTTCAGGGTTAGAATTATGATGGATAAAATATGCCAAGGTGGAAAACTACTACACTTCAAATGCACATTTTTATAATATTATGCAGCGTAGAAGCATTTTTAAATTGTTAACTAATTGTATTGATCAAAATGAAAACATTTAGCTGTTCCATCTGGTTGTTTAATTATTTTAGAATATACTCAGAGTTATAAAAAATGGAATTAGAGACCTCATAAATAAATCTTAGTTTGTCTGGATTTATTATTTATTGGGTATGAGTACAAATAAAATGCATGATAGTATTTCATTTTCAACCTTCGAATAAAAGCTTTTTGACAATTGGTCAGAATAACGTTCATAATTCATTAATGTGCTGCCTAAAAATTAATATAAACATAGCACCTTTAAAATTTAAGCTTTTTCTCAATGAAAAAGCTCTATTACTTTTTATTTTGACCTGAAGAAATTTTCAGTGGTCTCTTTAATTTTTTCCATTAATTCATGAGTTTTTGAGATTTCTCACCACATTGCTATAAATGTGGAAATAAATGTAGATTAATAAATGTAGAAAAATGTAAAAAGCTATAATAAATCCTATTAAAATACAATTAAGATCACTTTATATTTTAAACTTTGAGTGAGTATATTTATTGCATGTAAATTGCATGTTTTGAGATTTTAATCTTGATGTACTCTATACTTTAGAGACAAATCACAAATGTGAGCAAAAAGTGAACAAAAAAACTGTTTTAGGTACACACTTGTTTGTTACAAGGATATATAACTAATGTTATTATCTGTATAATATATATATATATATATATATATATATATATATATATATATATATATATATATATATAATATCTGTATATATATATATATATATATATATATATATATATATATATATATATATGAATATGCAATGTTTCACTTCAGATGGCTAAGTTTGTGTGGGTGTGGATGTGTGTATCTGCTTCCCTCCATGTACAGGTATGTAGCCCAGGTTTTCACAAATTTTCCAAACATTGCTTTTTATTCCAAACAAAACTTTTATTTTTCACTGTAAGAGTTAGAAAAAGCCATCTAAATTCATAGATGCATATAAATATAAATATTATTATGTCCTCATAAAACGAAAAACCACAAAAGCAAAATCTGACAACATCTTCAACTGTGGGAATCCTCATATTTAACAACTATATAATTACAGTATTTTATTTTTTATTTTTTACAACTACAAGCCATTTTCTGTTAAGATATTTAGAAATGTGTATGTATGTACACCCTTTCAAGTGAGACTGTTTCAAGTACAAGCACTATTTTATAAAATTAGAAATATGCTATTTTGGATGGATTTTCTCTTCTTGGTCACACGCTCATTTAAAATCATCTTTTAGTACCATTCTCACCTACGAGAAGATTCTGTCACAAGCGATGGCAGCCGATTTTAATTACAGACAGAGAATTTCAGAGCTGCTACATTCCTCCATAACAGGAACAATGAGGAGTGATCAAGGTAATTACTGCCTTTCCTCTCTCTTTATTATAGTGATTTTTTCTAAGCCAATCAAAGCCTGCCAGTCTTTTCATAGGAGTTCAGAAACGTTTGCATCGTCTTTGTGACCATTGAGTCCAGTAATAATGTTTGCATGGTATAAGTGCTGCCTTATTAGTGAAGGTTAGTAAAGTGTCTATTGTTGACTCTTAAATGGCGGCCCAGAAATAGAAAGAGAATCTGATAAGCCAGACTGAGGCATCTCACATGCATCTCACATGTCAAAGCCTCGCTATTTGAGCTGGTCAAAGCCTCGCTATTTGAGCTGTCGAGCTCTGACAGAAGGTGTTTTTCACCCTTAAATGGTTTGATTCATGAGAAGTCTTGAGAGGCGGCAGATCAGACGATGGTCTGTGGCATTTCCTTTGTGTGGCTGAATGACTTTTTGAAGATTTATGGCCATGAGGAGCTACAGGAAAACATTGAGGGCGCAAGAAGGGAGATAAATGGAGAGACATTAACTGCGACAATAAAAGCTCCTGAGGGAGGTGAGGCAATGATCTGTGTTGAGGGGGATGATTGCGTATTAATGTCTGTGTTTCTTGCATGTATGTGCAAGGGGCATGTGAAAAACAGAGGATTAGGGAGCAAGGGAGCAAAACCCGACAATTTATTTGAGCAGTCTTTACAGGATATGAAAATAAAATGCATTTAAACATGTTTCTCTTCAAGGCAAAACTTGAATTTGGTAGTTTTTAGTTTAGTTTGTCTATTTGTTTTGAGCAATAATATATAAATATATATATATATATATATATATATATATATATATATATATATATACATAATACATACATTTGGATGCAGATATCCTATAGTGTTAACCTGAATGCAAATATATAAACCAATATACATGTACAATATCCAAATTTCCAAGTCAAAGAAAGTGGGGCCTTGGAGTAATACCAATACCTGCAACTACCTACACTATATTTTAATCACCACAGACAATTTTTATTTTTTATTTTTTTTGCAAGCTGTTTCAAACTCTTGAAACAAACTTCAAATGGGTTTGGTTTGGTCTTTTTCTAAATAATCTCACACCAGTTTGATTTGATCTGATTTCTGGTTAAGACAGTCTAGCATTCATATGTTCTTGGCAGCTAATGGACCTTGAAGTATTCATCTTATTTCGCAGATGAAATGCTCTCATTTTACATGCAAGGTTGAAACACTTCCTAACACAGATTTTGCTTCTTCTCTTGTTGACTAACTGATAACGCAGTCATGTTGTCTTCATCAAGTCAAGTCGAGCTTTATTGTCATTCTTCTACATGTGTGGAAATAGAGAGAAATGAAATTTCGTGTCTTGCAGGTCAATGGTTCTATATAAATTAATCATAAATACAAACACAACACTGGACATGAGCTATTAAAAAAAACTATGCATAACAAACATATACTACACGATGCTTAACTATACACATAAGACAGGCTATACAAGTATTTTTACATGAGACTCAACAATGTTGTGCAGGATATTGTGCAAGAGAGGTATTAAAGATGAATATATTGATAGTAAACATTGTTTTCCTTACTGATCCCTTGTCAGATGGAGTTTAGATAAAGTGGCAGGTGCATAAGAGAAGAGAAGAGAGTTTCTGCAGGTGGTTTGTCAAGCCCTCTCACCTGCATGAAGCACAATTTGAAATGCACAATGTTTCCAAGAGACATGGAGCGATTAAGAAAGTGTCTATAATGCAAATGTGCAACCTGGTGCAAGAGTCAAAGAGATGAGATGGTGTCTTTTCTACAGGTGGTTTGTTAAGCCACCTCACCTGTACGGGACATACTCAGGAATTCATGAGATTTCAGAGGGGAGTAAATTGACTGGAGATTAGGGCTCTAACAGCCTGTGGGAAGAAGCTGTTGGGTAGTGTAGCTGAGCAGGCTCTGATACTTTGAAACCTTATTTCTGATGGCAGCAGCTGGAAGAGACTTTGGAAGGGATGGGTAGAGTCTTTCACAATACTAACAGACATTTTTCACAATGTAACAGAAACCTGCTTTGAAAAAGTGACTTCATGAGTTAAGCTTCAAACATCACAACATAAAAATGGACAACAGATGTTTTTTGCAAAGGAAAATGTGTAAAGTCACTGCACAGCATGATGTAGACACAGCAAAGAAAAAAAAATAGTCAATGTTTCTTGACTTTGGTCATCCAGTGTAATCAAAAAAGTGGATAAAATTAACATTATGGCAGTATATAGCATTAATATCCATATTAACACTTAGCATAACAGATAAAACTCTGAAAATGCAAGACCCAAACTATTGATAAATTGTTATGGCAAGTGGGCAGGGGTTGGGAGTGTGAATGTGAATGTGTGTCCTGAGTACCACAGAGAGGCTCCAGAAGGATAAAAGGAGGAAGGATAAAAGAAAATCTCTAGGAGGATAACAACAGGATAGATAGTCTCTACTGCACAGTGAAAGCCAGATAGGAAGAACTATGCGTGTAAATCCTAAATCCCCTGGCATCAAAGATGTGTGCAAGTAACTAATGCTAGAGTCTCCTGTATTTAACTCACACGGTCGGATTCCCAGTCTATCCACTTCCCATTGGAAATGTTGATTTGAATCCCACTCAGAAGGGCTGAGTAGGTCCAGATTGGTTACATTGGTATCACTGGTAATGAAACCAGTGTAATTAAAACATCACTTCCCTGGTCTCAAGTGGCACACTTGCAACTGACTTGAGGCTGCAGTTTTTAGTGTCCCTATAAGCGCCTCACAAGTAAAACTGGAGGGGTTGCATTGGTGCAACCCGGATAGGTGTGAGAATTAAGGAAATGAGTATGACTGAGGTCATCTTGCAAGAGCTGTGTGACTAAACAGGGATGCCCAAACTAGGACCACAGGACAAAGTTGGCCCACAGTAACCTTTGATTTGGCCCACCTTCCCATTTGAGAGGAGAGAAATAATTATTGGCATGGTTTAGAGATTGTCATTTTAAATCTAACTTTTGTTTGTTTGTTTGTTTGTTTTATTGTTAAAACCTAACTGAAATTAAATGTTTTCATCCAAATGGTAAAAACGAATCAGATAAAGATTAAATGTTCATACTGTCACCCGACAGAGAGGACAAATCAAGGCAAAGGCAAATCCTGCATGAATAGTGTATTCATCAGTGAAATCCACTGTTGTAAATGTGATTATGTTATCATTGCAATAAGTTATCATTTTTAAATGTTATACTGCATTAGTTATTAAGATTTAAAGTAATGCTTTCTATTTACTTTTCAATCTAATTAAATAATTTAGGAAATTGCCCATGGCAACTTTAATGTAATATAGCTTGGTATAGGTACCTTTAGCCTCAATGATATTTGACCCTTTTGGCCCTTTATATGAAAACGTCTGGGCACCCCTGGACTAAACCATGCTTCACATACATCTAAAGGGGGACAGGTGACTGAAAAATTGTGTTCTTTAGTATTCATGTTAGTAGATCTCATTGGAGATGCCAATTTGAATTCAATGCTTGAATTAGGGCAAATTGAACCGGAGGTGTTGCACTGGTGCAGTGAGGTTTAGAGGGATGATTCTAACTAAGAAAACTTTTCACTGTAGACATCAAGAGGTGCACCAGTAACTACCATATGCTCATTTATGGTGCACCTACCTCCCACTCAAAACACCCGTTTGCATGAAACGCTAGACAGGTGCTGTGACCCCAATGGGAGAGAGGTTTGGGCAGGTGAGTGTAAAGGTGGCAAGCTAATAAGGGCTGTGTAGGTAAACTCTACTGTAATGGCCTCAAGATGTCTGATGCTAGAGTTTGCAGTCTTAAGAATCCTTATTAGTGACCCCGCCTTCCACTGGACACAGTCGTTTCAATCGCTGATTGGTAATAGATAAGTACAGCAAGAGATGTTGCATTGGTGCCGTGACACATACAGGTGAGAGAGTAACAGAGGCACAGCAGAGACTAATGCTTGAGGTTGCAGTCTTTAGCATCCTTGTCAGTGTGTATTGAAAATGCTAGTTTGAACCCTGCTCAGGGGTGCATTTGCCAAGGACATAGCTCATGGATGAACTACTATAGTATGATACATCATGGGGGAAATAAATAGGACAAGCATTTCCCAAACTCTATTGCAGCTACATTGTTTCATCCACGTTAGTTAAAAAGCTCCCAAGAACAGTGCAAGAAATTGGAGCTGTGACTGGGGTTTGAGTTTTGGTGGGTTATGAAGGATAACCTCACTCCTCTGATCCAAAAAGCATCCTTGTTAGCATCCTTGTATGCTTGATATGCTATTTCAAGTCCCACTTGGATATGGTTAAGTAGAACCCAACAAACCTCTCACCTTGAGTTAGCAAATCACAGTTAGACCTGTTTCAAAGGATTCTGGTGCTTTAACACTAATTTGTTATTTGCCAAGAATCGGTAAAGTTATGTGTGTTAATGGCTCGTCCCTGATAGACATATATTACATGTACACAATATGTACATATGTAAAGTTGAGCAGTGTCTGCATTAATCCATCAATGAGATAATCACAGTGAAATGTCATGGGTTAATTAGACATGCTTCTAAAATAATCAACAAAAGCTGTCAACAGTCATTCTCTATGTTAGATTGTGTCATCCCAGTGCAGACCAAGATAAGTTTCAATTAATTTTGATTTGACAGATATATTAACCTCAGTCTGTGTAATGTGGGCCTACTTCATCTACCATTTGTACTTCATGACAGTTGCCCTGCTGTGAGATCTTGATCATTGATTTTCATGCCTTAAGTCTTGTAAATCAACTGCCTGCTTATCTAGAGCCCCTCTCAATCTCAGTCTCGTTTGAACAATTAGCATTCAACACACACTTGAGATTTGAAAGAAAACAACCCTAGTGTATACTTTTTGAACAATTCAGGCTCTAGAAGTTTTGCTGCTCTATCTGTGTGAATGGCTTGATGCTATGACACTATGCAAAAATACTGCTCTCCTCAACACATTCTCACTCCTGACTTACCACATACTGATGACAGATCTTGTTACTCTTTGACGCTTTTGGTTGTACCCCTAGTGCATCATTTTATGACACGCATGTTCCTCAGTTGCTTTAGTTGAGAAATGTTTGGCGCATATATGCTGACTCGAGTGCTTAATTTGTAAATTGCAAGGTCCTGGAACAGATTGGGATAACGGATCTGGCATGTTACCCGAGGATGGAGAGGTGTCACAGATGAAAGTGAATAGCATAGGGGGTGATGGGGTGTCGCAGACGAAAGTGAAGAGGGTTGGGGAGTCGCGGAAGAAAGTGTAAGGGGGAGGATTGGGTAATATCGGAAAAAGATCAGTAAAATGAGATGCGGGATCAGATTTCAGAGGTGCCGAATCCAGATCTGGCGTATTCTGGTACAAATAGGGTATATGCAGAGCTAGTGTTTCTTCCCATACTGATAAACTTCCGGTGAACGGTTAATGAGATTTTTTCCATTTTATATGGTTCCTTTTACAGTATCAGGGCTGTAATGTAATTCAAATGTAAGCAGTTAAATAGATGACATTCATTTAGTTGCTCAAGCGAAAACGAGACAAAAAGCCTTTTACTCGCACACGCCCATCAGAATTGACAGGCTAGTGCAGAAGCTCCATTGAATATACTGGGGTCAAATAAATGTTCATATTTTAAAGACATGGCAGGGAAAAATGTAATTTAATGGAGTGCTTCTTGTATAATCTGAGCCTCACTTTATATATTGGATATCCCTCAGCCAGTGGAGACCACTGATTTTTAAATAAAACAGACCTTAAACGCGCAGATTTTGCAATGGCATACAGTTCACCGAAAGCGTTTCACCCACGTTACTGACTAATTAAAAGTTCTTTAGCATACTTTAGCATATACCCTATTAAGCCCTGGCTGACGCAAAAGACATCGGCAATGTTAGTGTTGTGACTGAATAAAATATTGGGTAATATTTTTTGCTGTTATTGGGGTATACATTTTTCTAAAATAAACAGTCTTTTTTTTTTTTACTTACATTATGCTAGGAACACATTAGCAAGCTCATAAGCCAGCTCCTAGCCTTAACCAAAGCCTATTTTATTATGGAACACAGGATATAACAGGCAGCTTCAACTACGGTTGCAGATTATTGAAAAGATACAAATATTCAAAGTCTTCAGATGCAGTCTCCATCCGCTGCACAGCTCAGATGTTGAATGTGATAGATTCAAATTCAAATAGTATCGGCTCCTTCTGTCTCACATGATCAATCACATCACACTAATGTGCTGGAGCTTCTTTTTAATGGGAGGATATCATCAGCAAGTGGGAGCCGTATTGTTTTCAGTGATTGAAACCTCACAAATTACTCAATAAAAACATTGTTTGGGTTCACAAGACTTGGAATGCAGCACGGCTTATTTGTTTCTCTTTGATATAGTTGTTTCTCCAATATATACACATGACTCCACATGTATTTGCCTGCTGCTTATTTATGTTGTTCCGAAGAGGGTAGCTATAGGGTTAGGTGTGAGGTTGATGCTCCAAAATATTTCCGAAATGATTCCTTTTCATTAAATGATTAGCATTTTATAAATACATGTGAACCATTTATTGGGATGCATTATAAGAACAATCCAAAGCATCAGCCCAGCAAGCATTTAAAAAATAACAAAGATGTCTAATAGATGTCTAAACATGATCGTCCAGGCTAAAACAAGGCTAAATTTGGGCTGTCAGCTTTGATGACTAGTCTAGTTTTGGGCTATTCTTAGATGCCTAATAGATTTTCACTGACAGCCCAAGTTTAGTCTTGTTTTGGCCAAGCTGTCTACATTTAGATGTCTACATAAATAGTCTATTAAACACAATAGTCTATTAAACAAATAGTCAATTAAACACAAAATTGTTTGCTGGGAGAGAACTCGTATTTAAAAAAAATGATGCCAAAGGGGTACCCAAAGCATCACAATTTGCCAAAAAGGGTCCTGACCAAGCGTCAATATGTGATGAGCAGGGAGTGAGAATGTGTTGCTCTCCCCTACTCAAATTAGACATATTTTGTTGGCACCCACATGACAAAATATCATTATGGTTGTGAATAAACGGTTCGGAGAAGATTCGTGTAAGGTCACACTCCATCAGACAGCGCCCTCCGACTGTCAATTAAGATGGTCTGTGATGGAGAAAGAGAAAAAGAGAGCGAAATGATGGGACAAAGCAATTTTAAAACCAGATAATTATTCTGATGGCAAGCCAAGATTAGATATGAAAACGCACTGGAATCGGTCTGAGACACAGCAGGCTCTGAATCATAGTGGCTTTTGGTTATTAATTAATTTGTGTGTTCTGAGAGGCTAATGATGATGTACAATCTCTGTTGGGTTTCATATTAAATATTGTCAGTTTGTGTGAGAACATTTCCAATGGCAAACTTAATTTCAGCTTCTTATAGAATAAACACAAAATGCAGAAATAAATGAAAAGATTTTCATTCATTTGTGACTGTTAGACAAAAGATAAATAAAACTGAATTGTACTCAATAAGTTATGCTTAAATGTTTGTGTTCTTTATCAAACTTAATTCTTGTCATTTAAGTTAAAATAGCAGCAACTCATTTTGTAAAATGTAGGAAGGAGGTCCCTTACAATTATATTTGGAGACTAAATTGATGACCATTCTTACTTTTTTTTTCTCTCTCCCTTTTTCAATTTTCCATCTCAGCCATGCCTTCTGCTTTACTCCACAAGAGTGATGCCTGCTGTGAGCTGAGCCCATCTGCTTGGATGACTCTTGAATGAGTGAACTCTTCTCTATCGCACTCAAACACTCACATCAGACTCTCTTCATCATGGTCAGATTATGATCCAAACCCCAGCTTCAATGTTTCCCAGTGCCAGGTATTTATGTCCCCAACAGCTTTGTGCCAGACGGAGCCAAGTGGCTTATAAGAACAAGATATGATTGACCTTTTCCTGCTTGATCTTGGCTTCTCAATAGATTAATAGACCTGGCATCCAACAACATGTGCTGCCCTTTTAACCAGGGTTTAGATTCAGCTTTGTTTTAACTCTGACTAAGTCTAGAAGAAGCACACAAACTAGACCTGCAGTTTAAGTTCAATCACTCACGGTGCTCATTTTGTAATGCAATTAATAAAAAATGGTCTTTTAAAAAATTCATATCTAGCCTTAGAAATTCTGACTCATTCTAGTGAATATTATATTCATATATAAAATAGTGAAAGGTATGATTTATTGTAGTGAGCATGATTTATTCTGATTCATTGTAGTGAACATGATTTATTCGGAATCATTCTGATTCATTGTAGTGAGTCCTAAATGATCCTCGGTTTTGATATATATTATGTATATTACTGAAAGGTCTGATTCATTAAAGTCAGTCAAATTGATTCAAGTAAAATCCTAAATCCTCTCTTCTTTTAAAATAACTTGTTACCAACCCTTTCTCTTATACGTTGCAGTGAAAAATCTGATTCAATATAGTGAGTTTGATTAATTCATCAATGACCTTCTTTCTCTCATTGTCTTATATAGTAATGTAAAGGCATTGTAAAGAGTTGGATTTATTTTAAACCAATCTAAAAATTAATCAGATTCATTCTATCATTTTATTTAAAAACATTCTGCCAACCTAAAATACTACATTGCAAATCAGAAGAGCTTGACAACAGTTTAACTCATTCATTCATTTAGCTTCGGCTTAGTCTCTATTTCAGAGGTCGCCACATCGGAATGAAACACCAACTATTCCAGCATATGTTTTTGTTCCCAGCAGACGCCCTTCCAGCCACAACCCAGTACTGAGAAACACCCATAGACACTCATTCATACACACACACACACACACACACACACACACACACACACACACATTGCGGACAATTTAGTTCATTTAACTCACCTTTACCACATGTCCTTGGACTGTGGGTGAAACAGGAGCACCTGGAGAAAACCAAGAACATGCAAACTCCACACAAAAATGCCAACGGGCCCAGTCGGAACTCAAACCAGCAACCCTTTTTGCTGTAAGGCGACAGTGCTAACCACTGAGCCACCGTCCATCTCCTAAGAGTTTAACTACTTAAATTTATAAGGCTTTATTTACACCTAATTGGGGTCAATTTTCTTCAATCTGATTGCAAGTCGACAACAATATTATATAAAATGTTCTGAGCTTGTCTACTTTGACCACTTTTAGAAATGGAATTAAAAATGCATTTGATTGGATTGATTTCATTGCCCAAATGCTTAAACAGACGCATAAGCTCATGATTATTATGGGGCATATTGTGATCACATGCACCACAATCCCAGAATATGTGGTCACAAAAGAAAAACCAAACATACCAGGGGTAAACAACAATGCAATCTTGGCTGAAGGCTTGAGATCAATAAAACTCAAAATTCATGTTTCAAACCTGTACGGGTTTCGTTTTTGTTGTTGCTGAACACAAAAGAAGATATTTTGAAGACCTGACATCCATAGTGAGAAAAAATATTTATTATAGAAGTCAGTGGCTACCGGATTCCAACAATCTTCGGAATATTTTCTTTTGTGCTCAACAGATGAAAGAAACTCAAACAGGTTTGGAACAACTGGAGAGTGAGTAAATGGTGGCAGAGCTTTCCTTTCTGAGTGAATTGTCCCTTTAATATCAGTTGGAAATGGGGCCTTAACTGTAACTTGTTTACAGAAACAAGTTGAGTGTAGACAGTCTTCAACAGGAGTGCTGATTTTTGTACTACAACGTGCAATGTCTCAATTGGTTGTGCTTCGTTCATTCCTGACCTCAGCCTTGACCTCAATCTCTCCACGCAACTTAAACTTCATACGCATTTTTCAGATCCTGTAGGTGACCAATCTACAATATTTCACATTCAAGCTTATGCTAATGAATAGCTATAATCTATTCTCAACCCACAGTGCTGAGGGGCGTTTGACAGTCATCACCGGAGGCCTAAAATAGCACACTGATCCATTTCCTGCACCTCTCAAGGGATGCTTCATATGTGTAGCATAATTGTGTACATTACACTGAACAATGGAAGTAGGGCTGGGCAATAAATAAAAAACAAGTCCGCCCACTTGCAGTCCACAATGCCATAGCAACCAACCTGTGGATTTCCGTGGCAGATGGTCATAAGGAATTTAATCGCCCGTGTTTCTTAACTTCTCATGGTGTGTGGCATAACAAGATTCCGGATGTAATTAAAAGCCACAGGTTTCCTCAAAGGCCCATTGGATAAGCGTTGGGGCAACAGGCAGATGAGGTCTCCTCTGATATGAAGAACTGATTTGAATATGAATAGACTTGATCGATGTTCTGCAGATGTCGAGCAGAGGTGTTTCCTTGTGTGAATACTGACATGTTGTCTTTGAGAGCTGAGCAACAGGTGCTAAACAGCCCAGACTCCATTACAACCATCTGTCTGGTTCGGGCAGGATCACAGTGTGGTTGTGTTGGACTCGCTCCATTGATTGTCCGTCACCAGAGGAAATGACAACCTAAATGTGTCTCTCTGACCAGCTGTGTGCACAGCAACATCAGCGTGACAGCGGTGGGGGGCGCAGGGGAAACATTGAGCTGGCACGGGACCCACGGTCAGACACTGTGTGTGTCCATGTGTGTGTGTGTCCATGTGTGTTAGTTGCTATGGTTTCTAAAACTCATGCTCATTTCAAAGCACTGTGTGCAACACGTACTTCATGTGAGAGGTGTAAATGAGCCAAACCAATCCCATGAGAAAACATAAGCAATTTTACAAGTTGGCAGTTTTACGATTTCTAAAATGGGATTTGCATAGAAATAAATCATAAACATTACAGCCCTAAACCTTAAATGAATGTTCAGAAATAAGATTGGTAAATTCTGTGAAATGTAAAAAATAAATAAATAATTTATGCCATTGAAATGATTTCCATGGATAGTTAGATATAGAAAATGGCACATAATTGGGGATGAGATGTTAATTATTAAAAATTAAATTTATCCATTTGAGTGAATTGACAGTTCCTTTTCATAACAACACTGATAAATGATACATACAGCAGCTTTTGTTTAAACAGCTAAATATTAATAACAATACTAAATATTGATGAATGTAGGAGCTGTGTTTTACATTTAAATTAGGTAGCTGCACCTTTTAACAAACCTTTTACACCTGTTGAAGAGATTTTCCCTAAAGTAATTATTGATTTTTTTTCTTAAATATTTATTATTTTGGCCATTTTTTTTTTTCATTTTCATATATATGTAAAAAAAATGTATTTATTACAATCTAATGAGCAAATGGGTTTGAATTACATTGGTAAAGTCTTACGTGTTAATATGCAAGACAAGACATTATATAGGTATTATTTTTTATTCTTCTATGAAGTATTAATGTGCATGACATTTTAACAAGTGTTATTTGTAAATCAGGGTAAAAATGTGTGGTATTGATTTTTCCCTATTTTAATAAATGAGAGATTTATAAAATAATAAATAAATATTTTAAAAATTACTATTTTTACTACTAATATTATTACTGTTAATAAATAAAAGAAGAAACTGCAGCTTTGCTGAGAGGAGTTGAACATAATTAGCTTGTCACTTTTGCAGTGTTTTGTTCCAGGTCATGTCTCATTTGTAGTTGCGATCAAATGCACACAAAAGAGAGAGATTTCACTCAAGCAGAAAAGCTTTGTATCGATACACCGTGAGCCCCGTCTCAAACCTGTGCAGATAAGTCCGTGCTCATTCATATTCATGAGCTTTGTTTGTCATTTGCATAATTTAAAAGGCAAATGTTTCTGCTTCCCTCAACACGCAAACCTACAACAAACAGCGCTCTTTTTATCTTGTCACATTCAGCTCATTTAGTTAATTTGCTCTGGGCTCTATAAGATACAGAGTTTTGAAAGAGACTAATTTTCTTACCTGAGACCTGAAACTCAGAAATCGGAAATCCAATAAAGGTGTCAGTGCAGAGGTCAAAAGATCGTCCCTCTCAGTCTCCCATTGTCTTCAGCATATTACGTTATTTTCCATAGTAGATGCTTGTCTTCCAGCAAGTCTTCTCTTTTTCTGTGTGCAACCCAATGATGCGCTCTGGTTGGTGTCAGAAAGTTTCCTCAGGTAGCAGATTTCCAGTTTTATACGCACTTCTCGTCTCTCGCTCTTTTACTTCATTAGCTGCTGTCTGTGGAGAGTAGGTGAGAGAGTGCTCTCATCCGCTGCTCTCTTCTCTCTGCGTGCCACATGCTTCTTCGCTACTCCCTCTCTCTTTCTCACCTCTCTTTCTTGGTTTATTTCTGTGTTTCTTTTCTTCTGTGTGTCACAGGCTCTCTTTACACCTGTCTATCTCTCTCTCTCCTTTTCTCTCTCTCTCTCCTCCACATTTAATTGGCCACGGTGCACCTGTAGCTCTGATTGGTTGACAGATGAATGACTTCAGCTCTCTTTTTTTTTTCAGAACAGCTGCTGACCAATCAATGACCCACAACAAGCTTCTGCTTCTGCCACTTTGCTCAAAAACTGCTCAATTTGATCCCAGGACAAGCTGTCCAAAATGAGGTCTTAGTTATGTTTACATGAACATCAGTATTCAAATTATTTCCCTTATTCTGAATGATACAATATTATTAAGGTGTTTACATGAGTTGTTTTTAGAATTTACCTTAATTGATTAATGGTACACGTCTTGTGTCTTCGATGTTTCCAACAGAATTTCACTTGATATAGTGTTTGTCTTTGTTGTACCACATACAGTTTTGGGTTTGTTTTTTTTAATATTATTATTATGAAGGCTTAAGTGCAGTCGATTATTTGAAATGATAAACCTGATGCAAACAGATGACGGCGGATACAAGTTGTTGTTGATACAAGACTTGATCT